CTACAGCAATCGTTCTTAGTCCTTCATTAGAAGAGCTTTCTTCATGCCATGCAACCACACTGACCTGCCAGCGGCAAGGCAGAGATAGATTTTTGCGAAAAGAGCTACCCTCTTCTCAACCTAACCATTTGAAAGATTACCAAATGCACTGAAGACAAGAGCGATACTCTTATTTAATTCTGATTGGATGGCACCATCGCCAGAGATGAATTAGTAAAGATACTTAAACTGATCGACTTCTGTGGCTTTCCCTTCATGTTCGACTAGTAGATCAGTCCTGTCTGATTGGTTTCTCACAACTTTGTACTTCAAAACTTTAAGATAGAAGCACGTTTCAAAGCAGCTGTGCAAATGGAAGCCGTCAGGTGACAGAGCCCGCTTCCCGCACTACTCATCAGCAGAATATCACCTGAGTGCTCAAAGTCCGCAAAAAGTCTTGAACTGCGTCTTAGCTCTAGAATGATACCTTCACCATTCATAAATATAGAGGCCCTCCTAACTGTAAAACAATTACGGAGGATTTTGTTTTAAAGTCTGTGTTTCAGTCCGGATGACAGAAACATCAATAGAGAAAGGTGTTAACTGTAAAGTGCAAGTTTATCATTGTTGCTAAAATTTTGGGTGTCTCAACCTTTCATCATTAAATGTTCATTTGATTAGTTATAATCTCAGAACCGCAGTCTTATGAAAGTCTACTTCAGTTTTTACTACCTTAACATTCTGATAAAGCTGGTAAACAACCATCCGGAGTGCAGCATAGCATCATAATACAGTTTCTGAACCATCAATAGAAGACACTGTCATTTTCATAGCTGAATTTTTACCTCCTCAGCCTTCTCTTTGTTTTGTTTCAGAAACTTGATTTCCGTTGTGCACTGTCGAATTACTTGTGCCTAAATCAACGCTATATAGAAATTGAACTGGTTCCTGACTGAAAGTACGGTACCTGCTCTAACCTCACCTTCTTTAATGCATCCAAAGCTTTGATATACCTAAACATTTATACGAGATAAAAGTAATTAAACGATATCACATGCAACATTAATGAACTTTTTACGTCTCGATGTGTTAGTGCGAAGCGGCTCTTCCTCATCCAACTTAGATGTATCCGTTGCAGAGGGGACAATAACAGGCAGTAACGGACCGAATGTCAGATAGGCGAACTACAGATAGGTGTAATTTACTTAGTCATGAATATTAAAAGGTCGATTAACAAAGAAATAACAAACAGTGGTTCCCTTTAAGGAAATTCTATTTAGAACAAGGACACTGCAATCACAAAGCAAAATAAAAGGCGTTGAATGTTCATATTAATTCCCAAGCAAAGCCTGGTGAGATAATTCCCAATTTCATAATGTCATTTATCTTGATACAGAATAACCTACAAACCCACCGCACGATGCTGAACTGAAAATATAAAACACCAATTCAGGCATAAATGAACATCCCTCACGCAACCTCGATCGTCAACACGAAAAATGTCCCATAAAAAAGCATTGTCTATAAGTGCAGATAATTTCATCATCGGTCTGAATAAATGATGATACCTATCGTGTTACATCATCGAAACTATTTATTCATCCTTTCTTCTCCTCATGCTGCTTACTTTCTTCTTAGCAGATTTCTTTCAGTGAGGATCTGAATTTCGCCTAATTATCTGATGACAAAAGTTCTCCCCTATTCTTTTCCAATGAATTACAGTTCTTTGAGCCGCAGCACTTGTGCAGTCTTCAATTCTTCGTTTCGCTGTACCAAACAAAAACTAGGTCTTATTGAAGCTTCCTGTAGTCTAGCCGCAAACAAATGCATCGGGACTGCTTCTTGATGACACTAAAAATTCATCAGAGGATTCGCAATTCTATGGAATACCGTACCTTATCATGGATTAGTAATAAAAGTATAATTGAGAAAATTTTTAATGCGAATTACGTTACAAAGCCTGAAAAGAATCAAGGAACTGTTTCTTAGAACCTGCATACTTCCTCTAATAACATATGATGCGCCAATGTATTTTTTCTCCCCTCGTACAGTGGACCAATGCAAATTGTCAGTAGAGCAGGTATGGTGTTCCATATTAATGTCATAAACGTCCTGCCAGATCAGACTGTAAGATCTACTGTAAAGCTTTATAAAACTATTCTAAACGATGCTCTCCATCTCTCGCACAATGCACTTCGATGTCTCATTCAACATGGTCCCAATATGTCTGCATCTATGTGAGGACTCAAGCACACAATATCTGTGATTCTGTAGATGGATCAGATGCTGTAGAATGATGAATGGGAAAGCGGAAGCTTTTCGAACTGGGCCTTTCACATTAACCCACACATTCAGATGTTTATCTGCATTAACTTTCTAGCCATCAATCCGTTTCTTCTTCATCACTGTTTATTCCTTGTCTCATTATTCTACGCATAGTTTGTTGCCTATTTGAGCACTATATGTATATTGTTATACCAATGGATCAGTAACTGCTGAAATGATAGTCTATACTAATAGTTGCACTTGCTATTTTCGCTAATGCAATTAGTAAACTCTTTTGACTGACTGATTTCTTAACCGAATAATTCAACTCTATTTCAAGGATTTAAAAACCATTTAGTAGCAGTGACAATACTAAAGGTTTCCGGTTTGACCTCAGAGTAATTGCTGAGAGAGTAATTTAGCTATAAAACAAATTTTTTGTTTGTGACAGCGAGATCCAGTCAAACTGTTATCCACTGTCCATGTTAAAAATTATTAGTTATACGTATAATTATAATTAGTCATAATCATACAAGTGGATAGTGACAGAATAGATCAGTAGCTGAATTTCAATCCAGAGGTCTAAATCAAACGCGTGGCGCGAATTTTCTCTTATTAATTGCTAGTTTCCTTGAGTAAAGAACTCAGTGAAATGTGCTTTGCAGTCAGCTGAAAAAAAGGGAAGCAGATAGCTAACCCGTGAATAACATAGGCATACTGCCATGCTATCTAATGCGTGTACCTTGCGGCTGTAACTCACCTTCACTTACCTGATAGCTGATTAAAATCATCACAAGGTGCAAACGTAATAAAAATATTTAAGTATAACAAATCTACTCGCTCACAGCTAATGAAAAACAGTCGTACTTTGTGGCACTAAAAATGTCGTCAAATCTGGTTTTCAGTGACTTTGGATCACTAAGAGGCCTGAAACATTCCCAAAATGTACAAACAGAACAAAAAATAATTACGTACCAGCAGAATTCTTCCTGGTGGCAGAATATAACGTTGTCCAAAATGGCCTTTGATACCCCCAATAAATTGATCATCTACAAGGAACCGATAAAACAACAAAACAACAAATGACAGATTTTCTATACCTCATGATCAATATCAGCGCATTTCAGGCTAACACTGGTCACCTAAAATGTGAACCAAGAGTATGAAATCATTTCTATCATGCCATAGATATTTTTAAGTCTCCGTTAACTCTATGGTTAAATAGTTAAGAAAAGGCAATATATAATAATTATTGCGGCAAGAGCAAATTACAGTCGAATTCATGCTATCAACCTAGCTGCTATGGTAGCCTCGAAACAAATTTCATGAACCCGATATAGTGAGTTAAAGAAACAGCACCAAACAGTAGGCTAACATCTCATGCCAGCCACTAAATTTGCCTGATCGCGGTGATTTTACCTCAAGAACTACGCACTGCAAAAGTCAGCACGTGCAATAAACTGACAATTCGCGATTCACTAAGGTGAACCCTTTTCGGCACAACTGATCACCTAAGAAATGGCACTTCATACATCTTCTGACTGCGATTGTCATAATCTTCATTGAATTACACGCCTTTCGGTTTCAAATCAACCATCAGTTGCAAACAGTCTTCAAAGATCTTGAAAACTATCATATCCTTTACCTACCATGAATAAAATCAGTGAAACAGCTGCTAAAAGATCGGCATTTGTGTCTAGCATCGGATAAACAAACCTATTGCGTTGTTTAATCCCATGTTTTTTGTGTTGTTTAGGATTATTACCAACGCAAGAACAAATATTCCATCTCTCAATCGCTTGGCACCTTTTTGATCTTGTGGTAAACAAAATGAATAGATGAAAGCTACGGAACTCCTTTTCGGCATAATTTATAATACATTTCGTATTTTTAGCATCAAGACTAAAAAAGCGCCAAGCAATGCGATTCTCGGTCATTTTGAATTAGCATCGACTAGTTTCACTTGCTATTTACCTAAAAGGTCTGAACTTACATTCAGGACGAAAGTGATTAAAAATGAGAAACCACAAAAGCCAGAAAATAGAACATCTATTCAACACGAAGCCTTCAGAACTTTAGAACGGTGTTCCTTTGTCGTCGTGCCAATATTAAATGTACTTCAACACTTACGAAGCTCAAAATATTTTAAGTATTATTACAAATCGGGCTAAAATAAGCAGTTCTGCAACACAAATTTACTCAATTTCTTTCTCATAAGAAAATTCGCAATTTGAAAAGCGATTCAGAGATGGATTAATGTTCAGAAGCTAGTAGAATGCTAAAAAAACAGCATAAACATGTTGGTACAGTAACGCAAAAAAGTTGGAAACAGCAAAGAGAAAGGTTTGACTGCACACAGCGCTAAGAATAT